GATCTCGATTGCCGTGAAGAAGCAGCGCGAGAAGTTTGTCAAGAAGCGAGAGAAGACGATCGTTTTCGGGGTTGGCAACGACCGCGACTGGAGGGACGCTGAAGCAGATGAAGCAGTCTTTGAAAGGGCAGCCAAGGCGGACGACCCCGAGAGCGTGGAATGGGAGCAATGGGCGGGCATCGTGGAGCGAGGCCGGCCCGAGTCGCTGGTGCTGGCGAAGACTACCGCGGCTCCCACGGTGAAGAGGGCTCCTGGGCCAGGCGCAATCAGGAAGGTCGATTGGGCGCCTCTGGCAAACCGCTACTTGAAAGGTAGGCGCATTATTTTGCATACGGACCGCGCTAAGAGCTACGCCATGCGAGTTGAGGGAGTGTTGCACGATTCAGTGCGGCACTGCAAAAAGAGAGTGAACAAGAATGGAAAGTGGGTGTGGATGAAGCCGTGCTACGCGCGCTTGGCAACTCATAAGCTTCCATGTGGTAGGAAGTTGCGCACCAAGGCCGGCTCCCAGGTTATCGACAGCGCTTGGAAATACATCCGCTCAACCTTGGGTGGCCAGACAATGGTGCCCAATTCTGAGACGGCCGCCACTGCAATTCGCAGCGCCCAGTGGCTTTACTGGCACAGGGGCAAAGACCTTTGGGCCGAGATGGGATCCACGTTCTGTGCCAACTTTTGGCGGAGGTAAATTGTTACTGCAAACTTGGACAGCGATGGTGTCCTCGTACTTCTTTGCTTTGAAAAGGGCTTCAAGGTAGATCTCAGAGGGGGGGGCACGTATATATATATATATATATATATATATATATATATATATGTACATATACATATATAGATTTCCATATTGTCAAGCCTATCCCCCCCTCTGGGGCGCCAGACCCAGCAGCCCATACCGAGATGACCGCCAGGTGGAGGGCGCAACGGAAGGTGCGTGCTGCGCAGGGCCAGGGCCGGCCATGGCAGAAATGGGGCGAGGGGAAACGTCAGGAGGGTACTGGTTCAGAGGGTGGGGGAGCATCGACCTGGAGTCGGCGATGCACCGCCGATAGATCGGCGACGGGCCCCCGATAGCAAAACCGCACGTTCCTGGGCGGGGTGGGCTATCGGGCCCGTATCGGCGATCAATGGGCCATCGGTGGTGGATGAACCAATCCCCCTCTGGGTCGAAAGCTATGCCCCGAGGGGAGGGCCACGAAGGCGAGGCTGTCGCGGCGACCTCATCGGTCAGCGATTGCGACGGCCGAGCGCCATCATCAGCATCATCGCCAACAAATGATGGAGCCATCATCATCAGCAGCAGCATCACCGTCATCATCGTGTCACCAGCATCAGCACCAACACCACCATCAACATCATCATACTCATCAACAACGCCAACATCCTCATCCGCCTCCTACTCCTCCTCCTCCTGCTCCTCCTCCTCATCATCGCCAGTATAAACATTATCATAATCATCCTCAACATCATCGTTATCCTCAACATCATCGACATCACCAAAACCATCAACAGCATCACCATCATCATCAACAACATCCTCATCATCATCCTCATCATAGTCAGCATCATGATCCTCGTCCTCATGTCCCTCCTCCTCTTCCTCCTCATCCTCATCATCTTCGTCCTCATCCTCATCCTCATCCTCATCGTCGTTCTCATCCTCATCCTCATCCTAATCCTCATCCTCATCCTTGTCATCTTCATCATCATTCTCATTACCATGAATGGCGGTGTTTTTTGACAGCAGATGGCACGTGGTCGATGTACCACGGCCCGCGGCCGGGGAGCAACAGGGCCTGCAAGCGTGGGTGTCGGCGGCAGCGGTGACCCGATCGGCGCGACTCCGCCGCGCGGACCGTGGGGCGTGAGACCGGTGAGATCAGAGGCGCGCGGCACTCGGCGAGGGCAGCCAAGCCCTCCCCCCACCCCGGACCTGGTGATCCCCAGGGTCCCGGCTGGGGATGGGGACGGCTTTCTGCCCCCAGGAGCCCCGAACCTAAGAGAACCATGTGGGCACACATGAAAAAGGGATGGAGGTGGAGATTGGAAGGGCGGGGAGAGCGATGCAGCAACAGGGAGGAAGAAGGAACACACACACATGAGGAGAGAAGAGGGAATTGTCATGTCGGTTCCCACTTGGCGTATGCCCAATTAGCGAGAGAGGCGTCCCAGAGCCTTGGATCACCTCTTGGGAGTCTACTGTTGGGCGTCTTGGCAACTCCCTGGGAGCCTCTCGGTGGCGCTTTGGCCTGGAAGCTGTTCGTGGACATGTCTGGGGCTCTCCGGCCGTCCGGGGCTGTTGGAACGGAGGTGTCCTCCGGAGACGCACCCCTACCGCGAGCGGGGGGAAATCCGCCGATCTGGCGTGAACGACAAGGAGCCTCGGCAAGAGCTTCAGCTCTGAGCGTAAGCAAGAGCTTCAGCTCTGCTTGGGGGGGGTCGCCAGGGTGGCTCTGCCAGGGAAGGGGGGGAGGGGGGGGGGGCGGTCCCCCACCTGGCGTTTTCTTCATGATTTGCGCATCCGGACCCCCCCTCGGGGAAGGGGGGGAGAGGGGAGGGTGGGCGGTCCCCCATCTGGCGTTTTCTTCATGGTTTGCTCATCCCCCAGATGTTTCGGGGGGTCCCAGGGACCCCCCGAAGATCTAGCCGCTACCGCCCCCTCCCCTTGGAATCCTCCCCGGACCCCCCCCTGGACCGCTCCAAGGACACCCCCAGAAGAGAAGAAAGAGGACCGGAGGCATCGAGGAGGGAGGAGGCCACAGAGCCGCGATTATCACTGAATCCGGAGCCCGCGGCACTGGCGGGAGGCCATTACACTATGAAGCGACGCTGCTTGGACCAAACAGGCTAGTGCTTGGATGCATCGTGAGCGACGCGGGCAGGTGCAGTTGGCAGAAGAACTTGTTCTTACTTGTTGCGGGGGAGCGACAAAAGAGGAGGAGTAGAAGGAGGAGGAGGACGAGGAGGAGGAGAAGGATGTGAAGGTGGACTACGGAGGCTCCAAGGCCGCGCTAACGGCGATGTTGGTTAACGGCGATGTTGGGAATCTGATGTTTGTGACATCGAGCTTGCGCATAACACATTGTAGGAAATCACGAACCACGCTTTCCTACACGTCAAATGTACGAATGTATCGAGCGAAAACGACGCAACGAATTGTAAGAAAGCACGAAAGACACGATGTCCTACGATGGGTTCGGCCACGAACCACTCCCACCTACAATGCCGAAGCCTACAGCGCCGTTACCTGCATCGCCGTCACCGCGTCGACGGACGGAGGCCCATTCACACTCCAACTCATTCACAGCTAGAGCCACCCCCAGTCTGCCAAGTGTACTCACAAGCCCGTCTACACTCGAAAGCTCGTGCGCTTAGACGCTCGCAGCGGATCTCTGGGATCTTGACAACATACATGCAACGTGCTTCTAACAAGCGGCACGAAAATACGTACGACATAAAGACTCCAGAGCTCGTGGGTTAACACTCGGGAGCTCGTGCGACTAAAAACGACACACACACACACACACAAACTTTTGGCGCTACGCGCGGATTTCTTGGATCTTCGTTGGACCCCCTTCCCTGGTACTCCGAGCGCCAAGGGCGGCGCTGGAGGCGCCGCGAAGCGGGGCCCAGCGCAGATCCAAGACATCCGCGCGGAGCGCCACCAACAATTTATGCTTGTGGCGTTGTTTCTCCTTCGACTTCTTGCCTCCTCCGAGGATTAAGTCGGGCATGTCCCCCTACAGGGGGATTTTGGAAGAAACATGAAAAATACCCCAGAGATAACCCAAAACTGTCAAACATAAAAACAACAAATCGTCCCCAGGCCACTTTTTTGTACTTTGGGACATTCCTCCTCTAGAGGCCCAGGCCCGACTTCATGCGAGGAGCAGGACGACGGCGGCGACGACGAGGCCAAGCGAGCCCACCCGAAGAGGCGCGAGCGGTGCAGGAGCAGGAGCTCGGCCGCCGTGGGCGGCGCCCGCCCCCCGGGGGGCGTCCCGGGAACGTGCGCGCCCCCCCCGAAGCGCCGCCGCGGGGGGGAGGAGGAGGGAAAAGGAAGGAGGAGGAGGAGGAGGAGGAGGAGGAGGAGGAGGAGGAGGCACGGCCCGTCCAGCCACCCTGTGCCACGGTCGGACCTCGGCCAGAAGAGCGCCCCTGGACAGGCGCGGTCCACGACTCGCAGATCAGCTGCTCGCAAACTGCCCGGATCCGCCGCGGGGGATCCACGATGTGTCACATCGAGGAGGACCTGTGTATTTCGAACGTTGGCGAGTAGGCACTTTGCGAGTAGTGGGATGAGCTCGGCGAGGTACGGTCGGACCTCGGCCAGAAGAGCACCCCTCGAGAGCAGGAGCAGGGGAACGAAGAATGGCACTAAGCATCAAAACGCGGAGGTCCGCGCGGATGTCTCGGATTCGCGCTGGGCCCCCTCTTTGGTGCGCGGCGCGCGGAGCGCGCCAAGGGCGGCGCCGGAGGCGCCGCCAGGGGGGTCGAGCGCGGATCCGAGAAATCCGCGCGGACCTCCGAGTTGTGGTGCTCACGTCATTCTTCGTTCACCTAATGAGATCCTCTGCTGGCCAACACACACAGAACATCCAAGGGTGCCCTCCCCCCAGATGCGCAAGAACGTCCAGCAAACGCGAAGAACACTGGGGTACCCTCCCCGACCCGACCTCGATCTCATGCCTCGGTCCGACTGTAGGCGTCCGCCACGCTGGAGAAGTTAATCTCGCACCGCTCTTCGTCGGCGGCGAGCGAGGGGGGGAAGTGAGGAGGAGCCTCTCTCAGAAGGCGGCGGGGCTTCTGAGAAGCCCTCCAGCCTTCTGAAAAGTGTTCTGTGTCTTCGGGGAAGGCTTCGAAAACTTCTCCGAAGGCCGGGGGACTCCCGAGCCTTCTGAGAGGTCCCGTCCCTTCTCACTGCCCCCCCTCGCTCGCCGACGACTTCGCCCACCAGAAGAGAAAGAAGGGAGAGAGGAAGAAGGAGCGAATGTAAGGGCGGTTCAGTGGATCGAGTATCTGCGGTGCCGGAGGCCTTCGCAGCGCAGCACCACCTTCTGGACCCGCGCGGTGACCTTGTCGATCTCCGCCTGCTCTGGGCTCGCTTCGGCCTCCCACATGTCGCTCCACCTGGCGATGTTGCAGGCAAGGTTGCCAGCCAGGCCGTTCAGCTGGGGAAACAGGTGGACGCAGGCCTCGCACATCGGGGCGATCACGAACTCGATGAAGCCCACCTGGGAATTCGGTCTGCTGACTTTCGCGCGGTCGTTCAGGAACTGCACTGGCACGCCGAGCTCTCGCTCCATGTCGCCCTGCTCGCAATCGCTCGGACGTCCGTTCCCTGTGATTGGTAGGGTGTCGTGCGTATATGTTTGTTTACAAGGTGAGCAGCAATGCTCCTCGATAGTGCTGCCGAGACGAAAGTGCGCAGACGTCCGAGCGATGCCAAGCCTGGGCGAAGAACTCGTCCAGGACCATGTGGGCGTATCTGTGGCAGAGCGCCCATGGCCTCATCGGGTTAGAGATGTCCGCGCAATGCAGGAGCGCATTCAGCACCGTTTGAACCGTCTGAGGTGACTCGCTCAGAACGGAGCCGGGGGTCAGCCGATCGAACGCCTCTGAGTTCATCTGGTAGAGCAGCCCCAAGTCTTTGATCATGCTGACATGGTGGTTCATGTCAGTGTGCAAGATGCAATCGATCAGGACTTTCCTCATGTCTTTGTAAACGAGTCTGTCGACCGTCTTGAAGATATCGCACGACGGGTTCTTCACAATAAAGAATAAAGTCGAGCAGTGCATCATTTCCATCGGTGACCTGTCGTTGTACTTGAGGGCGAGCTCATGCGATGTCTCGATCAAGAACTGATTGTTAAGACCAAGATGGCCGACATCGTGAGCTAGGGCAGCAATGAGCAAGAGGTACTGAGATACCTCGGTGAGGAACCCGCCTGCCTCGATCAGCTGCAGGAACCTCGACACACAATAGAGGACGTCGACGCCATGTGAGAAGTTGTGAAACGGGTTGGGCAAGTACCCCTGCTCAACGGCCGAAATGAACTCGTGTAGCGTCTGGTGGTCGATATTGGCGCCAACCCAGTCAGCGTAGCTCCCCCGGCATCTGATGACGTACCCGCAGACCCCCAGTTGAAGCTCTTTCCCCCAATCCAAGACGTTGCAGTGTGCGGAGTCGAGGGACGCCACCACCTCGGCCGGAACGGTATCTACGATGTCCGGTGAGCTGATCAGGGACGGCGGGTCGCTGTCGAGGCATTCATGGGCGTCGGATGCAGAAGTGCTCCTCTCTCGCAAGAGGTCCGGGGAAGCGGCATGCGACGAGCGCTCCGCAGAAAAGATCGACGCTTGCACCCGGGTCGAGCCCTGCATCCAGTTGAGCTGGATGAGGTCCTCCTCTTGCATGTCCTTGGTGATGCGCGGCCCACTCCTCTTCGTGGAGAGGGAGGCGATGGCGGTCAGCTTGGTGATCACGTCCTCCAGGAGCTGGAACTCGTTCTCGTGTGCCCGCTCGTCCTCGGGCTGGGCGTCGTCCTCCTGGATGCCCGCAGCGAACTTGAAGATCTGCTTGCAGTGCTCCCTCACCACGCTCAGCATGCGCTCTAGAGGCGTCAAGACAACGACGGTGATGCTGTTGCTCATCAGCAGGCCAAAGCCCAGCATGACTGCCACAACGAGAACGATGGAGGCCATGTTCGCGGCGGACTCCTGCGCATTCACGACCGACATGTCGTAGCAGGCCTGGAAGTTGGACGCGCTGACCTTCAGCATGGATGCCCGCCGCCTGGGCTTCTCGAAGGAAGAGCTGAACGTCAACGCCAGGACGTCCGGCTGGCAGTCGAAGCCGTCGCCCAGGGGAACCCCGTAGCAGACCTCGTAGGGGCCGTAGAAGAGGTCCGCGTAGAAGCTCGAGAAGCGCTCCAGCTCGGACGCCATCATGTCGGAGACCGCGGCCGAGCCTGGGTTCGCGGCCAGGCTCGCCACCTCCCTCTCGACGCTCCTCGCGAGCAGCTTGGCCCACGAGGTGAAGGAGCGGTCGCTCTCGGGGTACTGAAAAACGTTGAAGACGGGCATCATCACCACGATGCAGATGGTCAAGAAAGCGACCCGCTGCGCCATGACGTTGTTCAGCCGGCCGGTGATCGAGTGGGCAACCTTCACGTCACCCTCGCCGTCCTCGGGCACGTACAGGCACGGCATGAACCGCAGGAGCTTCAGGACCCTCGTCAGGCGGCCGGCGCGAGCCCCCAGCCTGGCAGTCCGTGCCGCCCGGACGAGGACGATGTTGTCTTTGGCGCTGCTCTCGCGCACCTGCTCCGGGCTTGTGGCGTCGGTCCCGAGCAGGTAGGAAATGTCGAACAGCATGGAGAGTGTGCCGATGAGGTCCATCCAGAAGAAGAACCCCCCGGGGTACGCTCTGTCCGTGAGCGCCAGCCCACAGAGCTCGAAAAGGAAGACCACGAGCACCAGGGTGAGGGCGACGTCCAGCTCGGTGTTCGACGGAACCTGCAGAAGAATGAACGCGTCGTACAGGAAGAGCGCGGAGAAGAGGCAGACCATCGCCACGAGGGAAAAAGCTCTGCTGCGAATGATCCTGCGACACGACACCGTCATGGCAGACCCGTACCAGCGCTGGGCCATGCCCGACCCCAAGCGGCGCGGTGCACTCACGCGCGCACCCCTGCCTGCGGCGCACGGCTCCGGCGCGCCCTTCGGGAGGCCGACGCTGGTCCTCGAGATCAGCGTCAGCGGCCGCCGCTGCGTCACCCTACCGGCCCTGCTGGAGACGGTCAGCCTCCAGCTGTTCCTGACGCGCAAGCTCTCCTTGGGCGTGAATTGAGTGGGAGGCGACGAGCGGGGGGGGAGCAACGTGCACCTTTTGTGCCCCCTTTTGGGTCCCAGGGGACCCCTTGAGGGCCCCTCTCGGCAACAAAAAGAGCCCTTTTCCTCATCCCCCCGTTTTCGCCCACTGCCGAATCACGAGCGAACACAGGCGCCAAACTGAAGAGCTTTCGAGGGCACCCTCCTCCAGGAGGCGCAAGAACATGCAGCAAACAGAAAGAGAACATTGGGGCACCCTCCCCGAACCGACCCCGATCTTATGCTCTATACCTTGGCCCGACAGTACTCGACGCCCGATGTCCGCCGGACGATGCACGTCTGGCTGCCCGGGCTCCGTCGGCGCGACCTTCGGGGATGGACAGACCTCCCTTTAGCAAAACGTGGTTCAGTGAAAACGACCTGAGGCCCAAACCTGGCGGGCGCAAGCCTGGAAAATAACGGCCGCGGCGCCCTCTCGAAAACCGAAAACGGACAATTCACTAATCGACGTGTCACTGTTGGGGGTTCTGTCCACCCCCGAGACCTTCGCCATGGCCCGCCACGCGGGCCCCTCGATCGGCCCCGCTCCGCGGCACGAGGCCGGCGCACCCGGAAAAGCGGCCCGAAAGGCCCGCGGGGGCCGAGACGGCCGGGGCGGGCCTGGGCTCGTGGCGGTGCGGGCCGCGCGGCGACCGGGCCAAAAATGGCTGCGGAGAGAGCCGTCGAAGGGGGAGGAGCGTGTTGGCGCGAGCGCCTACTCCAGATTTCGTAATAAAGTGAGGGGGGTCTCATTTCGGGGGGCGGTCTCTTCCAGGCTCTCTTGGAAGGCCTGTGGGGTCTGGGGACGACGTTTTGGAGGGTTCTCCCACGGGGGAGGTCTGAAATGGCTTGTCTTGGAGGTCCAGACCCCATCCCTTTTATTGCTAAATCTGGAGTGCGCTGCTGGGGTCGTAGGCAAGCCTTTGGCTGCTGCTGCCCTCTCCGGCCATTTCTGCTTCTGACTTGCCTCCGGGGCTTTCACGTGGCACCAGGTTGGTCCCAAGATGGCCCCTAGGGCCCAACATGGCCCACGAAGGGTCCACCGCACCCACCAGGAAGGCCCCAAAAGACCCTCAACATGGCACCCAAGGCTGCCCCGACGGACTGACGGACATTCCCGGGATGCCCTGCATGGTAAAGCCCCAGGAGGCCCCCAACACGCAGGGGAATATTTCGATTTCGACGTTCTGGGCAGGTCCTCTCCTTCGGAGTTGGAAGCCGATTGGTGATCAGGTTTGCGGCGGGGATGGACGATGGCCATTGCGACAGCACCGTCGTCGTCGTCGTCGTCGTCGTCGTCGTCGTCGTCGTCGTCGTCGTCGTCGTCGTCGTCGTCGTCCTCGTGCGCCGTCCATCATCCGTCGTCCGTCGTCCGTCGTCGTCGTCGTCGTCGTCGTCATCCATTGTCCGTCGTCCGCCGTCGTCGTTGTGCTTCGTCGTCGTCGTCGTCCTCGTCGTCGTCGCCCGTCGTCCGTCGTCGTCGTGCGTCGTCGTGCGTCGTCGTCGTCGTGCGTCGTGCGTCGTGCGTCGTCGTCTGACCGTAACGCTGCCCCCAGGGAGCCGCGGGCAAGGCGGGGCGGGCGCGTCCCGCTGACCAGCGGGCCAGCGGTCTCGCGGCGCAGACCGTCCTGGCCGCGCGGCACTTCGCGAGGGGCGAGCGACTCGCGCCCGCGGCGGCCGAAGAGAAGGGAAGGCGGGAGCCCCAGACACGCCCACGCTGCAGGAGCAAGAGGACACGACGGAAGGTCCGAGGTCGAGGACCGAACTTTTACTTGTCTCGCTCTTTTTGGGGGCCTCTTGTCGGGGGCGGCCAAGGAAGGGGGTGTCCGAGAGGGGGGGCGCAAATCATGGCCGGCGGCAGGTGTGCGGCCCAGGGGGGAGCCAGGGACGCGTTGAAACAAGAAGAGGCGCCATGACATCAGGGCAAACATCATGGCCCACGCCATGATATCCACCTCGCCCTAGTCATCTAAAGGGGGCCTAGGACACACAAATAAATACACACAAACAACACCCCCCCCCGCTTGGCCGCACCCGATCTTTGGGGAGCCTCGGGTCGACGGCCAGGTCCGCCTCGAAAAATCCCTAGCCGAACGCACCCCGAGACAGCTCCGGGGATCGACCTGTGACCGCGGGGCCCTGACGTGCTCGCGTCGTTGAACATACAGTCGGACTTCATTGGACAGGACACGCGAGAGGACACAAGACCCTTCCCAGGGACACAAGGGTCCCCTTGAGCTGGCAGGGTCGACCAACTATTCCGGGCCGACTGTATCACAACGGAAGAGATCTTCGGACGTCTTCGACCTCTCGGGGCCCTCACCAGGCCCCGAGACCGTCAAGAAAGAAACCGTGGTGAAACAGTGGCCCTGGGGGGAGGAAGGGTCGAGACTTCTGGGGAGCCCCGTGTTGCAAAGTCTGGACGCAGGATGTAGAGCGCCGGCCCAGTAACGAGGTCCTAGGGCGCCCTTCGAGACCACACCACCTCAGGCCCCTTCTCCTGGCCTCCTCGGGCCCATCCTGTCGAGTTTCGTCTCCGCTCTCCCTTCCCGTCTGCTTCTCTCTGCTTCCTCCCGTTGTCCCTTCCTCCCCGTCTGCTCCTCTTTTTCTGCCGCGCCCGATTCTTCCTTAGCAAGAACCGCAGCATGTTCGTCCTCCGCCTTCTCCGCATCTTCTGGTCCTAGTCCTCGTCCTCCTCATGCACCTCCAGGGAAGCAGACAAAAACGATACCGCTACTCCCAGGACCCTTCCTGGGGCGCCTTCTGACCAGAAACTGCAGGCGAATCCAGCCGTGGCGACGAGGGCCCCTAGGGAGGCCCCAAGAGGCGAACACCGGGCCACGGCGGCGGTATCGATGCCTTCTCTTCCTCCTCTGACTCTCGTGCTCCTCCTCGTCCTCGCCGCCGTGGTCACCCGCGCCTCGCCGCCGAGCTGCCGCACGCGTCCTTCGAGCTGCACCGCTCCGCCTCTTCCCCGCGACCCTCGCCGATGCGGCGCACGTCCGACGCGGGCGGCCCGATGACCTCGGCCGGCGTCGGCTGGAGCCCCGGCCTTTTGGCTGCGACGGCCGCACTTGGCGGGGATACCCGCGGTGGACAGACCTCCCTTTAGTAAACCTCCCCTTAATGAAAACGGCCTGGGACCGAAACCGACGGACCTGGACCCGCAAAAATGACGGCCGCGACGCCCCCTCGCGAACCGAAAACGGCCAATTCCTTAATCGACGTGTCAGGGTAGGAGGTCTGTCCACCCACGAGGATACAACCATCGCGCCACCGGAGCTCGACCACAAGAAGCCTTCCACAAGAGAACCAGCCCTGGACCCCGGGACGTCTGTTGATTTCTCGTGTGTGGGAGCGCCACGCTCTCCTCGACAAAACCATCGGAGCGCCCACGAAATCCGGGGCACCCTGGAGGCAAGCAGAGCGCTTCTCGGCATGGGCTTCCCCTGTACGGAGCGCCAGATTTAGGTCGGGCATGTCCCCCTACAGGCGGATTTGGGACGAAAAATGAAACAACAAAAACAAGTCAAGAAATATCCAAGAATGGTAAACAAATGCTCAAACAACATCGTCCCCATATTATGTTTTGATAACTTTTGAATATTCCCCCTGTAGAGGGACGTGCCCGACTTGATTCTTGGCATGGTGAGCGTATCTTTATTCGGCGGTTCGGCATTGGGGAGGAAGGGGGGAGGGAGGAGGGGGGGGGGGGTCTGGCTCCAGACCACTGCGTAATGCGACTGCTTGCCAGAGTGCTGCCCCTGAGGAAGAACCCCACCCGCTCGAGACAGGCGCCAAAACACAGCCAAGATCTGCTCCAGCAGGGGGGGGGGGGGGGCACATTACACAGTGAGCTGCCTGGACGCGCGCGTCGCCCCATTGGAGTGGCCGACGCACACACACACACACACACACACACACACACACCTCAGCATCGGTTCACCAATCCCCATTCCCATCCCCGTCCCCTTCGAGACACCCAACCAAACTACCACCCCAGTGTGGAAAGACACCCCTGGAAACCCGGAGGCAACGGCCTACACCCCCATCTAGGGGAGTAGATCGGCAGCACCACGAGCGACCGACTGCTTGCCAGAGTGCTGCCCCTGGGGCAGAGCTCCACCCGCCCGAAACAGGCGCCAAAACGCAGCCAAGATCTACTCCAGGGGGGGGTGGAATTTGGGGGCCTGCGCCGACCCACAAAACAACGAATGAAACTATACCAAAAAAAAAATCCCAATCCGTGGATGGTTTGATCGATGAAGGGATCGACCGGGAACCCGTGCACCCGGAACACGGGAACCCACCGAAGTCGGCCCAGAACCAATGACCGGGAACCCGGGCCCGCGCCGATCGGCAGCACCACGAGCAACAACAGCGATCCCACGGGCCCCCTCTGCACGGAGAGCCACGGCGCGCGCCCTGCGGCCCAGGGCGGGCTCGCTCCCCCGAGGCCCCGGCTGGCTCCTCGGGGAGCTGCGCGGCAGCGCCCGAGGCCCCCCGAGGCCCCGGCCCGAGCCCAGGCGGGTCCACGGATGGGCCTGTGTTCCACCACCCCCGCCAGAAGTTGGAGGGGGGCGAGGGGGGGGAGGAGGGGGAGGAGGAGGAGGAGGAGGAGGAGGAGGAGGAGGAGGAGGAGGAGGAGGAGGAGGAGGAGGAGGAGGAGGAGGAGGAGGAGGAGGAGGAGGAGGAGGAGGAGGAGGAGGAGGAGGAGGAGGAGGAGGAGGGGAGGAGGGGAGGAGGAGGAGGAGGAGGAGGAGGAGGAGGAGGAGGAGGAGGAGGAGGAGGAGGAGGAGGACAAGGAGGAGGAGGACGAAATTCTTCTCGAAACCCGGAACGAACTTCTCCAGGACACTCCTGGCCAATCCTACCGTTTTCCGATCGAAATCTGATCTGCGATGTTGGCGCCATGATACTTGACGGGCGAAGAGCAATCTAACATAAACTTTTCCGCCGTCGGGGGCGCCTGCCCCTGGGCGGCTGGAAACTGTGTACCCTTGCGGTGGCACCGTAGGGGTTGAAACTCTCCAGCCTCCCAGGGGCAGGCGCCCCCGACGGCGGAAAAGTTCACTCTGTATCGTTCTTCGCCCGCGGACGTCAGCGCCTGGGCTGTACTTTTCGCACTGGCGAAGGCCACGGCCCCTCGTCGCCGCGACGGCCCGCACCCCGCGCCCGCACCCCCCGCACTCGGCCCACCCCCGCGCTCGGCGCCCGGCACCCGCAGCCCCGTGGAACTGCCGCGGGCAACGCTCCTCGGGTGGCCACAGGGAGAAAGACAGAGAGAGAAAGGGATAGACAGAGAGAGAGAGACAAGGAGCCCACACAAGACGTGCGCATTATAATCAGGAGTGAGACACTGTGATCAGTCTGTGCATGTACGTTCGTGTGCACACACATGCTGCAAGGGCGAGAAGGGGGAGGAGAAGAAGGAGAAAGAGGAGGAGGACGACGACGACGAGGTGGAGGAGGAAGAGGGAGGAGAACGAGGAAAAACATGAGTTTGGAGAAGCTGATCGGCCGTCTGTGCCACCTTGCCAGCCCCGCCCGCCCGCCGCACCCTCCCAGCCAGCCTGCACCCGTCCTTGCTCAGGTCGATGCCCACCGCCTCCGCGCACTCCTGCGGCGGAGGGACACGCGGGCGAGGAGAAGGCGACCGGGAGGCAGAGGAAGAGGCGGAGGAGGCTGTGCAGACCACACAGATCTGGGTCGGGCGTGCCCCCCTGCAGGCGGAGCTTGGACGACAAATAAGAAACAGTCGAATGCCCAACACATGCTCAAACAAACATTGTAACCCGACTAGTTCTTGACTATGTTTGCACTTTCCCCCTGTAGAGGGACACGCCCGACTGAAACCTGGAGCCGTGGACCTGTCGAGGCCACGCCCGCAGCAGGCCCGCCCGGGCGCATCGCAGAACTCAGTGAGCCTCCGAAGCTACAGATACGAGACCTGTGTTGCATCACAGCAGCAATTCGGCCCCCGACTTTCGTCCTGGGCCCGGTGTAGTGAAGTGATGAAATTCGGGGTCCTTACGTGAGAGGAAAACATCACTTCACTAATCTGGGGCCCCTGGGGCCTCAGTGGGCCCTGGGGCCCAAAATATAGACGTGATGGTTTTCGGGCCTCGGTACACGCCTCAAAGATGTCGTCCTCTGCAGCTCGCAAGACTCGGAAGTAAACACACACAACCGGGGACGGGTCGGCGAAGCCGTGCAGGCGGGCGACCTCATGATCGACGAGAGGAGGAAACAAACTGGAAGCCGTATCCCGCCGACCCGCACCCAGTCCCAGCGTTCCCCCCCCCAGCATTCAGCACGCTGCCCCCCCCCGCGCATCATCGAAGCCGCCGACGGCGGCCAGGGACGGGAGGCGCGCGCACCAGTGATCTCGCAGCACCTGCCAAGGCGCGCGGGAAGCCTCCAGCACCGCGTCCAGTCGACCTTTCCGGAGGCGGGCCCTCTGGGTCCCGAGACCGAGGGCGTCGCTCCCCCGGCAGGCCGCACCGAGCCCCGCTCCCCTGGAGAAGTGCTCACCAGCCCAGGCCCCACTCTGGCCATCGCTCGGACGTCCATTCCCTGTGTTTTTGTTCGTATTTTTTTTTTCGCCAAATGATCAAGGATGCTCCTCGATGGTCCTCGCCGAAGGAAAAATGCACACGTCCGAGCGATGCCAAGCACATTTCATACAGAAGAGAGCATTCGCGCCTGCTTCAATCTCGGGCCCCCCCCTGGGAGCAGTCACCACCGAGGCCTGGACGGCCGAGTGGCCATGGACTGTCCACGGGGCTCCTTCCAAGTTGATCGTGCTGGGAGGCTCCAGAGGAGGAGGGGCAGCAGCAGCAGCAGCAGCAGCAGGGGACGAAAGGAGGCCGAGGGGGTGGAGGGGAGGGGGAGCAGCAGCAGGCGTACAGGAGGCCGAGGAGGTGGAGGGGACGAAAGGACCATCAGCATGTGGTTCAACCCCCTCCGCGGCGCACTCGGCCAGCAGCATCCTGCCCACAGAGGTGGCAGTCAAATCCACGACGAGACCCGAGGTCCCAGCCAGCCCCTGCGAGTCCGAAAGCTCCAAGGTCCCCAAACATCTGCTTTGCCCTCGCATGCCATCGCGACGCTGCCAAAGCGAGCGCCTCAACGCCCTTAATGAAAAGTACCAGTTGGGGCGGGACGGTCCAGAGCTTGGCGCCCTTCTTGGCCCAGAAATCCGCAAGGCGGTTCCCGCGGATGCACCACTCCTCGTGGCCGCCCGCAGCAGGCTCCAGACTGATTTGGGCATGGAGCCTGTGCCCGCTGGCATCCTTACCGACCCCGGCCCACTAGTGCGCCCATAGGTGGCGGAGAGGGTTGCTGAGATCAAGCCCGACACCTGCAGTCGAAGCACAATGAACGGAACCTTTTACAACCGCTGTAGACAACACGAGGATTGTCTGGATCAGACTCTGCTACCTCAGACAGGACACGAAGCGCGTAATCCTCCGCCGCGTCTCTCGCAAGTTGCTCAGAGGGAAAGGGGGGGGGGGGGGGGCAATCCCGTAAACCGCAAGAGGCGGAGGAGGAGGAGGAAGAGGAGGAGGAGCATCAGGACGAGGAGAGGCGCAGGCGGAGAGATTATCGGTGACGACGGGGAGGGAGGAAGGGAGAGGGTGAGCAGGAGGAGGACGACCGGGAGGCGGAGAGGAGGGCGGAGGCAGGGCAGAAGGAGGCAGGCAGCACGGGGAGGGGGCGACGAGCCAGAGCGGCGACGGGGGACGGAACGGCGGAGGGCCGATGGCCGACGGCGAGAGAACGGACGGGAGGACACGGACGGACAGCACAGCTGCCAAGGGCAGAGGCCGGGGGCGCAGAGCCGAGGCCTCGCCCGGGCGCGCCCCAGGGCGTGACCGAGACCGCAGCGCGCCGCAGTCGTGCACGCCAGCCGTTCGCGCGCGGCGAGCCGATGGCGACTTCCCGCTGGTTTCGGGGAGGCGTAGAAGACTCGGGCACGGGGGACTCGGGCAGGCCCGACGGGGCCAGCATCAAAGATGGCGAGGTCCAAATCTGAGATGTGGCGCGGCCTCCCGCTGCAGACATACCACGAAGACCGGACCGTCAAACTCCGGGACGCGCTCAGCCAAAAACGCCGGCAAACCCGGATTCCGGCTTAACCGAGTCTTACGTTTCTCCGATTGCTATGTCGCGTCCGCCTTGTCCCCAGCTTCCCCTGCCCCGATGGTTATGTCGCGTCCGCCTTGTCCCCAGCTTCCCCTGGCACCGGCAGCAACCCCAGATACCCCTCTGCAGTGCGAAGCCCAAGTAGGAGCAAACACATTCGGGTCACACATGGGAGGGACCTCACCGCAGGCCGCCCTGGCCAGGGCCAGGGCGGCCGCGGCCGCGGCCGCCGCCCGCAGCCAGCCACCAAGACGCCTTTCTTATCCCCCCTGCCACCTGCACCGTCTGGCTCTCACCTCCACGGTCAGCTTCCCTGCGGCTGCGGTCCTCGACCGCCTGCTGGCACTGTGAGACGGGGGTGCGGAGGCACGCTTGGGGCGAGAGGGAGCAGCGAGCCACACTTTTTGTTACCGTCCAGCGAAGCCCAGTGGCACAGGGGGGCACAGAGAGGGAGGAGGGAAGGGAGGGGGAGACCGACGAAAAGCGCGGCCTCCAGAGGCAGCGAGCCACACACCCGCGCCACAGAGCCCAGACGGCAGAACCCCCCCCCCGCACCCCACGCGCGGTGACCCCCCCCCAAGCAGCCACCGCCCCAACGAGCTGGGTGCCCCCTGCTCCTGCCTCGGCGGGGGAGGGCCCCCGTCAGAAGGGCGGGTGGCTGCTCAGGGGGGCTTCTCCTCTTCCTCCTCCTCCTCCTCCTCCCCTCCTCCTACTCCTCCTCCCTCCTCCTCCTCCCTCCCCCTCCCCTCCTCCTCCTCCTCCTCTCCCTCCCTCCCTCCTCCTCCTCCCCCTCCTCCCTCCTCCCTTCCTCCCCCCTCCCCTCCCCTCCCCCTCCCCCTCCTCCTCCTCCCGAACCTCCTCCTCCTCCTCCTCCTCCTCCTCCTCCTCCTCCTCCTCCCTCACGCTCGGTGGAAGCCACCAGGGCGGCGCAGAGGCCGACGTGCTGGGACCCCTATGCCTGCCTGCAGGCGAGGGATCCCACCGTCTATCTCGGAGACGCCTGTGGGGATCCCGAGAACAGAGGGAGAGGTCCTTAGGCCCTGCACTGCTGCTGTGGCACCCCAAATGGGCCCCGCGGAAATATCTCCGCACCGTGCACAAATGCCACTCCGACCTTTTCGGCCTGCCTCTGCTCCTCCACTTGGCCTCCCACTCGCCTTTTTCAGCATGCCTCTGCCGACTTTCCGCCTGCGCCGACCCACCTCCCACCTCGTCCCTCCTCCTTCTCACCCACGGCCGCGCCTCGCTCTGGAGGGAACTGTAGGCCCCACTCCCCGCCCACACCCTGGCCGCCATGGGAGCTGGAGGCCTCGCACCAGACTTGCTGCCTCACAGGCCTACCCCCACACCTCATCTGACAGTGAGGGAGGGAGCTGGAGTTAGGTCGGGCGCGCTCCCCTGCGGGCGGATTTTGGACGAAACATAAAGATGGTCAAAATGTAAGCAAACAAGGTAAACAAAATACTCGAAACATCGCCCCCAGACGATTTTTGCTTGACTCTCTTTGCACACGCCTCCTGTAGAGGGACAGGCCCGCCTTCAAGCCGGAGGCCCCCTGACCGCGGAGGGGCGCCGGAGGCCCCGCACGAGGTGCCGCCCACGGCCCTCCCCCGCCCCCTCCTCGGGCAGGGAGGGAGCCTCCACGGAGGAGGACCCCGGGCGCCCCCCCCCCCCCCCCCCGGGGCGCTGGCCCGGCGGGGCCCGCAGACTCAGGTCGGGCGTGTCCCCCTACAGGGGGATTTTTTGGACGAGCGATAAAGAAGACCCCCAAAAAGCAGTCAACAAGCATCGAAAATACTATACCAAATCGTGCCCAGACTATTTGTTTGACTATTTCTTGAATTCTCCTCCTGTAGAGGGACGTGCCCGACTTGACCGTAGACCCGGGGGGGGGGAGGACCCCGCCCAGGGCCCCCGGGCCCTTACCCACCCTCACCACCGCCGCACGCTGGCACCACGCTGCCGCTGCCGCCATGTTTAGCCTTCCTCTTCTCCCCCCATCCTTCGAGGCAAGGTGGTGTGTGGATGTGGTGCTCCTCCCTCTTCTCTTCTCTTTTCTGCCGGACCTGGGTCCCGAGTTTCCTCGCTCTTGTTCTGCTCCCCCAAGGGGGCCCGACCGGGCCTCCCTGGGGGAAGCGGCTACGTATGAAGACCCTGAGGCCGTTCGGGAGCAGAAAACAGATGGGGTGCGGGAGGAACCAGAGACAGAGTGCAGGAAGAAGGGGGGCCCATCGCAGAAGAGACCCATGCACGTGGCTACTCAGAGGTCTGGACCGCTTCCAGGGGACCAGCCTTCCATCCTGCGTCTGTTCGATAGCCAGGGGCCCGACAGAGGCCATTGAAAACTGAAAGGTGCCAAAAACCTCCCGTCGTGATTGTTCCACGAAAAGGGGTGTCAGGGCGTGAAGGAGGAAGAGGGGAGGAAGGGCGACGACGACGACGACAGGTAGCGAACGCGCTTCGCGTCCGAAGCCTGAGACAACAACGAGAACATAACATGGCATATACATAATTCATTGGGTGTCCACGCGGATTTCTTGGATCGGCGCCCCAACGCCGATCCAAGAACTTCGTGCGAGGCTCAGAGAACATGTTTATGCCGTTCGTGCGATGCTGCTGCGCGCCCGTGCCGATACAGTGCGCGCACGGGCCGGCTCCCCCTATAACGGCGGCAAAACGAACAAACAAAAAGGAGGCACATAATGGGTGCCTGGAGTCGAAATGGCGACGGAGGGCACGCGGGCGCAAGTTCGCCTCGTACCTACAGCTGAAAAGATGATCAAACAAATCATAATGTAATAAAATTTGGCCAACTTCCTGGACGTTTCTTAACACAGACCAATTTCTTTTCCGCTGGGGGGGGCGACCATTCTGAAACAACTGAGCCAGTTTTCCGGCAAATTGGTTAGGAAGCGTTGGCCCAGATCTTCGGGAGGACGTTCCTTAACCAGATGCTCGAATGCAGCTATCCGCAAACGGAGCACTGTGTTCTTCCTCGAGGAACGACAACGCCCACCGCCACGACGGCGGCGGTGACGGCGACGCGGCCGCGTAAGACGAAACCAGGACGAGGATACCATCGGGTGAGGATAAATCTGGAATCTCTGAGATCGGGCGGTTCTGGAGGACGCCTCGGGCGCCGCGGCCTTCCCAGAGCGGTCTGGAACGCTCTGGGACGGAGTTGTCCTGGTCCTAGCCTTAGGTCGGGCATGTCCTGCTACAGGCGATGTTTGGAATCACACTGACAGGAGCAAACAAAACAACGAAACTTGGGGAAACAAACATCGAACAGTCGTTCCCCGACTATGTCTAGACTGGTTTTGGATACTCCTCCTGCAGAGGGACACGCCCGACTCAGTCCTAGCCCCGCCCGATGCCTTCTTCCTCGAGACAGCGACAGCAGCGCCCACCGCCAGGGCGGCGGCGGCGCAGACGGCGGCGCGGACGGAGCACGGCGACGCGCCCGCGGCCACGGGGGGGGCCACGGGGAGGGGGGGCGGCCCGGCGGGCGGCCTGGACGGCGGTGATGTCCGGGAGATGCCCGAGCTTGGTGAGCAGGCTGCCCGCGCGTCGGCGCGCGGCGCGGGGGACTTGTCTCGCAGGGGATGCGTGCCGGTCGGAAGCAGCAGGTAGAAGCACGAAGTGATGAGGCAGGCTGGGTCCAGGCCCTGCCAGAGATCAGGGAGCACACACGGAAGAAGCACATGGACTTTTGGAGTAGGAAGGCGCCTGAAGCAGATTGGGACCTGGGAGTCCAAGAATACGTAGCACCCAGCAGTCACGGATAAGGGTGAGGAGGCGGCGGGGACGTCTGCAGTCTGCGAGGCTGTGAATAAGCCCGCCCCAAGCGCCAAATCTTTATAAACCTTATAACGAACCCGCCGCAGGCGCCGATTTCACGTTAAAGCAAGGTGGGTGGGCCGCGGGGTGGGTCGCGGGGTGGGTCGCGGGTGGGTCGCAGGTGGGTCGCGGGTGGGTCGCGGGTGGGTCGCGGGCCGGAACGCGGGGGGGACGACGCCAAGCAACAAACAACAAACAACAAGCAACAAACAACAAACACCAAACAACAAACAACGCACAACACACAACAAATAACAACAACCACAACAACAACACCAACAACACCAACAACAACAGCAACAACAACAGCAGCAACAACACCACCAACAACAACAGCACCACACCCACCAGCACCACCACCAACAACAACAACAGCAACAGCAACAACAACAACAGCAGCAACAACATCACCAACACCAGCAACACCAACAACAACAGCAGCCACCACCACCACCACCGACAACAACAACAACAACAACAACAACAACACCAGCAACAACAACAACAACAACAAACAACATCAGCAACAACAACAACACCAACAACAACAACACCAACAACAACAACAACGACACCAAAAACACCAACAACACCAACAACACCAACAGCAACAGCAACAGCAACAGCGACAGCAACAGCAACAGCAACAACCACAACAACACCAACAAGAATCCGCATCGCGGAATCCCACTTCAGCCACGCACCCAGGACAGTGAATGACCGTTCGGCCCCCTGACTCTGACCTGCTGTGAACGACCGACGTGTATGTCGACCCCTATCCAGGCTAGGTGGAGTTTTCGAATGGACGAGGAATTCGGGGCCACACCCTGGGATCTACGATAGGGGAGGCCGTCCGTCCTCGACGGGGGTGCGCTCGAGCAGCCTCCCCTGGGGTGCGTCCCAAGGTTCCCCTCCTTTCCTGCGCGGCTCCGGTTTTCGTTAAAAAGTCGGGGGCCGGGGGGGGGCGGACCTTTTGGGGTCGACGTTGAGACAAAAATCACGACGTCGGGGATCTGGGATAACAGGGGCGAATAGCCAAGGGGAGAACAAGACGTGTATTCAGGGGCGCCGATGGCCCATGTCTTCGGCGAGGCTCCTGGAGGGGGGCGTGTATTGCCCGCCCCTGGGCTATTCGCCTGTATCGTGAAGTCGGTCACGTCCCTCTGCAGGAGGAATATTTGAAAATAGTCAAACCGCCTGCGAGTGTCGTCCCCCTCCGAGGGGAGCAGACACTGCCACGAGCACAAGAACCTCGGAGGTCCGCGCGGAGTCCTCGCATCCGAGCTGGAGCCCCCTGGCGGCGCCTCACGTGCCGCCCCTGGCGAGCTCCGCGCGCCAGGGGGAGGGGGGCCCGGCTCCGATCCGCGAAATCCGCTCGGGCATCCGAGCTTTGTCGGCACGCTGCACGGAAGGAGGTCCCGAGAGCCATAGAGCTAGAGGGCGAGGCGACACGACGATGGGAGCAACATCCTATCACGATCCCGATTCATTCACGGATGTCGCCTCCTGCCCCATGTCATTCCATGTTGCCGCGCTCTCGTCTCGAGGGCGGAATATCTGAAGGGGGGGGCCGTCGGCACGCCAGTCAGCGCGACACTAATGGTTGTTCCCCTGGGCTTGTCGTCTCCCCTCCCTCCCTCGGCGTTCTTCGAGGCCTCCCAGGTGGGGTCCGAGTAGATGGGCTCGGAGGGTCTCGCCGCATCGGCGAATCGGCGATGCATCGGCGATGCATCGGCGATGCATCGGCGACGTCCGCGTGGAGAGATCGGGCTCCGCATCGAGCCGCATCGCCGATGGCGTCGGCTATGCTGCGTAATCCTCCGACCCCATCTACTCTGACCCCACTTGGGAAGCCTAGGGCCTGGACTTCGTCCATCCGACCGTTTTCCACCGCCGCAGCACAAGCGCGGGCTCCCCATGGGCAGACACAGTGTACGTAGCTTAGCGGGGCGGTGCCCAGCGGTCTGCCAGCGACTCCACGCCCCGTGCAGCTCGCCAGTGGGTCGGTCCACGGCGCGAGACATGCGGGGAATGCGCTGGGCACCCGCTGGGGAACGCACGCTTTTTCCGGGTGGCGCCTTGTCCTCCTCCCCCTCCATCGGCACGGATGGGCTGGGCCCCTGAAGCCCGATCTTGAGCAGGGACCGACCGTCCCGGCATTCCTGTTGGCCTACCTCGACATGCTCTTACAATCAAAAAGTGCTCTTATAATGCAAACAATGTGTTCTTAGAACGTATACCTTGTGTGTTAAATCAAGACAGTCCCAGCCAGAAATGTTCTAACATCTCGTGCAGAATACAAAAGGGTACAAGAGCATTGTTTGGTGGGCCTGTAGGCAAGCCAGGACGCTTCGCCACTGCTCAACGATCGCTGCTTGTCAGGACGCTGTCGTGTCGCGGAGAATCGATCTGAATATGTGTTGAACTGTCACCCGTCCACTGAGGAGCAGCCAACATCGAATTCAGAAATCGCGTCGGCTCGGAATGCGCGTGAAAACCGGGCCGCGCCGAAGCCAGTCGGTCGGCCGCGCCAGGGCGCAGCGCAGCGCCGCACGAAAACATCGGGCCGCATCTGATCGTCGGAACGTCGGAGTCGGAGAAGCGCTCTCGCGCTGCCCACCAGGTCCCCTGGGGCCCCTTTGAAAGCAGCAGTGGGCCTGCTTAGGCTCTGCCCTCGGGGCCCGGAGGTGGGCCCTCAGTGCGCGCGCAGGAGCGCTGGATGCGACGTGTGAGTGGCCTTGTTTCTGCTCTGTGCCGACTCTGAGCAGAGCCCGCGGGGCCATCACCTTCTCCTCCCAGGTCCTCCTGCTGCTCCTCCTCCTGCTCCTGCTTAGCCTCACCCTTTGCTTCCCTCCTCCTCCTCCTCCTCCTCCTCCTCCTCCTCCTCCTCCTCCTCCTCCTCCTCCTCTCCTCCTCCTCCTCCTCCATCCTCCCCTCCTCCTCTCCTCTCTCCTCCCTCCTCCTCCTCCTCCTCCTCCTCATCTCCTCCTCCTCCTCCTCCTCCTCCTCCTCCCTCCTCCCCCCTCCCGCTCTCCTCCTCTCCTCCTCCCTCCTCCTCCTCCTTCCTCCTCCTCCTCCTCATCATTGTCTTCATCATCCTAAACATCGCCATTATCACCATCACCATCATCATCACCACCATCAGCATCACCATCACCACCATCATCGCCATCATCGTCATCATCAGCATCACCACCACCATCGTTATCATCATCATCAGCACCATCACCACCATCATCATCATCATCATCATCATCATCATCATCATCATCATCATCAGCATAATCATCATCATCACCAGCATCATCATCAGCATCAGCATCATCGTCATCAGCATCAGCATCCGCATCATAATCATATCCATCACCAACATCACTGTCGCCGCCGTCCTTCTTCATTGCTCCCTCCTCGACCTCATCAACATCATCATTACGTTCAGCCAGTGTGGTCCCATCTCGTCCTCTGATTCTTCATCAGACTCCTCTGGCGACATGCTCGTCCACGGCAGTGCCAGGGCAGCATGTTCGTCCACGGTAGCGGAATGGGGGAGGATGTCTGGCCTGCTGCAGAAATCCCAACACATCAGTCGTCTTGTGTTCGTCGCGAGGGCCACCCAATCCCCAGAGAACTATGTTCCATCCCGATCGCGTGTTGATGGTCTGCCATTGCCCGACAAGGACTTCTCAGAGGCATAGAGACGGGAAAACAAGTGCGTCTGACTTTTTCGTGGCGAAAGAAGTCTCGGTGAACCCCTGCGAAATGAATGCCAGGCCTGCCCTGGGGCCTTCTGACCAGAAATTGAAAGCGGATCCAGCCCTGGCGACGAGGACTCCCGCGGACGTCCAAAAAGCTGAGTCCTCTATTCTCGGATCTCATCTCAGTCACAGCGTCCGTGCTTCTTCCCTGTTGGCGCGCACTAGGGGTTGGCGCGAGGGTGGCGGTCTTCTCATGCGGGGACCGTCTTAGAAGGGTCCAGAGGCGTGTCAGACGCTTCCAAGCCTCCCGCCTTCCTACAGAGCCGCCCCCCTCGCGCCATTCCCGTGTGCGCGCCGCCAACCTTTCTGAATCACGACGTCCCTGATCTCTCGTCCTCCGCATCTTCCTCCAGCGACGGGACGGCCTTACAAGGGCCTCCTCCTTGCCTTCGGCTGGCGAATGCAGGAGGATTTCCGTCATGCTGCGGATCTCGTGCTCCCGCACACTCCTTGAGAGATGAGGGGAGGCAGGGGAAGGGAGGCGGCGGGATTGAGGGAGGGGGGGAGGACGCAGGAAACATCATAGATCGTGCGAGCAACGACTCGCAAACACGCCTGAGCAAGCGAAGGGAGGCACCTCACCGATGGAGGCGCCCGCCACGAATGAGAATTAGTGAAAGCCCCAAGAGTTAGGAGCAAGTGATGATGATTCCTGTCGCAGGGTACCTGCCACCAGCGAAGCCAACCACGGACCTGTTGACGGGAAGGATTCGGAAGAGCCAAGGGACAGGTGTCCCCTAGACTGTCGAATTTCGGGGACCCAGCCACCACCCGAACCCCACACAAAATGCAGAAGACTAGCAGCCCAGCACGATGGACCTTGTGACCGTCGCACTCGAAGGAAACTCCACTCACCTCCACCGCCCTCCACTAGCAGCAGCAGCAGCAGCAGCAGGACCTCCCCCGCCTCCACTAGTAACACAAAGCCACCCCAACTGATCAACAGCCTCGGCCAGGGCCTGGAGCATGGGAGGCGTGTCCAACTTCGCCCCAGGCTTAAGCAGCGTGACGGCACCGGAGGGGTCCTCGCCACGGCCAAACAGCGCCTGCACTGGATAGCGGACGAACCAGGGGCCAGAACAGCAGGGTCATGCGCAAAGACGGTGCGTCCATCCGGCTTCGCACTGGCCGCAGGCTTCGAAAAGGGGGCGAGGCAGCCTGCCGAGCGTCAGGGCGAGAGCAGATGGCCTGGAGTGTCCTGGCCAGGATCTCGAGAGTGATCAGCATCGGCCGCGACTTGTGCAACAGCCACACCCTGGGCCCCGAGCTTCGCCAAGAAATCAGCCCAGGCATTGCCCATGAACCGGCGCAACTCCTCGGCAAAGCTCGTTGGGCAGCACACTGCCATCCGGGGGGACCAGCGGGGAGGAGGATCGGGGTCAATCCAGACCCAGGTCAGCCAGGCCTTGCAAGATACTGCACAATCCCGCATCCCAAACCAGGTCAATGCGAACGATCCTGCAAGATCATGCAGGATCATGCACCCAAACCCGGGCCAATGCGACCCTGGCCCTGCAGGATCCTGCAAGATCCGGAGCTCTGGCTGACCCCCGTCTGCACTGACCCCCGTCTCAAAGCTCGCGAGGAGGAGGACGCGCACTGCCCGCCCCGGGGCCTCCCACGCGGAGGTCGCGACGCGGGAGCCGGGGGCAGCAGCACAGGACCAACTGGGCGGGGCTGGCGTTCGGTCGGGCATGTCGTCCTACTGGGGGATTTTGGACGAAAAATAAAACTTCATCAACAAGTACCCAAACATTGTCAAAAGCATGCTGAAAACATCGTCCCCAGACGACACGCACACACGACATCAAAAACAGGCTGGACACACACACACACACACACACACACACACACATACACACGCATACACACGCATACACACGCACGCACGCACGCATGCGCGCGCGCACGCACGCACGCACGCGCGCGCGCGCCCTCCCCCCCCACACCCACCCACCCACCCACCCACCCATCACCACCACCCACCCACACACCCACACACACACACACACAAACACACACACACACGAATATACACACACACACACAAACACACACACACACACACGCGCGCGCGCTTCTGCTCCAGCGGCAGCGTGGCGTCCCTGCAGCGCGAACTCAGGCGGGGCACGCTGAGCGTCTATTCCCCGAGGCGCTGCACCTGGGGGGCTGCGCTGGGCAGGGCGCCGTGCAGGAAAAGAAGGCGGCTGCGCCAGATGAGCTTCACATCAGGGCTGGACCTAAACGGTGTTTTTGGTGATTTCGTGGGCCGTTGTCGCTTCGGCTTCGTTCTGCGGTAAAGGCGGACTCGAGACAAAAGCGAGGGGAAACGACAACCAACGAAACCGAAAAACACCGAGTAGGTTCAGCCCTGCTTCACATCACCCACCCACCCACCCACACTTCGTTCCCTCCAGCGTGCCGCTGGGGTGCGGTCGACGGCTCGCGGAGTCATCCGACCGCGCCATGCGCGGGAGCGTGAGCCCCCAGCGAGCGACGGCGGCATGGCCGACCGCTCTGCGGCAGAGACCCGGCGTGCGCAGGAACAGATGCGGCACTGCACGCAGACACACACACACAGACCCGCGCCCCATGGTCGTCGGCGAGCGAGGGGGGAAGCGAGGAGGAGGAGGCCTTCTCAGGATGCTCGGAAGCCCCCCCAGCCTTCCGAGAAATTCTCTACGCCTTTCCCGAAGACGCAGAAGAGAGGGGCTTCTGAGAAGTCCCGCCGCCTTTTGAGCAGGCCTTCTCCATCTCACGTCCCCCCCTCGCTCGCCGCCGACATGGGGTCCGAGTAGGCATCGGTGATGCGTCGGCGACGTCGGCGAGGAGACATTCGGGCTCCTTCTCGAGCCACATCGCCGATGCGTCGGCGATGCGGCGCGATCCTCAGAACCCCCTCTGCTCGAGCCCCATCTGGGAGGCCCGGCTGTGCACGGACAGAAGAGGGCCATCCTCATGAACACCAGGTACCAATACAGCTACTCCATGGACCTCTTCCGGGGCGCGCTCTGACCAGTATCTCAAAGCCACTCCAGCCGTGCCGACGAGGGCACGAGGCCCCCCAAAAAACGGGAAACGAGGTAAGGATGGCGATATCGGTACCTTTCATCCTCTGAGCCATCCTCATGAACACCAGGTACTCGCGCTCGCCGAGCTCGCCCATCGCGCCGATGTCGACCTCATCGAAGAGGGCGGTGGCCTGGGGGGCGTCGATATGCCTCCGAAGCGACGGCTGCCGCGGATCGACGGTACTGAAGAAAATGACTCCCGCTAACAAGAAATCAAGGGGCACCTCTGTCAACGGTCTGTTCCTCGATTTTGGCATCTGGGGCCATTATCTCGCCCCAGGACCATCAAACATGGATCTGGGCCGAAGAATGACCCCCATGAAACAGTCGGGACGCCTGGGGTCGCGAATTGAAGAAGAACGTATCAGCACATGCCAGGGTCATCAGCACAGCTCGCATCGGAGTGTGAGCTGGCTCGGGCTCTACTGGTGCGGCGTGCAGGCATCGGACCGCATCGGCTGCGCCAGGATGCGCACCCGCGCCCTGCAGGCATCGGGCCGCGCCGGATCCCTGAAACATCAGACTTGAATCGGATCGAGCCCGTCGAACTCGACATCGGATCGGCTCGAATTGGGATGGGCCCAGCGAGGGGAGTGTAGAAGGCCAAACAACTCCACAAACATGCATTGGGGAAACCAAAAGGTACCGATACCGCTACTCCCCGGACCTCTCCCGGGGTGCGTTCTGACCAGGATTTCGAGGCGAATGCAGCGGTGGCGACGAGGGCCGTCTAGGAGGCCCCCCCAGAGGGGAGAACGGGCGACGGGTAGCGGTAGGGGCACCTTTTCCTCCTCTGGATAGAAGGCCAAACAACTCCACAAACATGCATCCATCATTCGGAAGTCCAAGCGAATGTTTCTGAAGGGGCCCTGAGACACACAAATAAATACACACAAATAACCGGATTCTCCATATCTTCATATACTTTCTCGTTTGTTGTATTCCCCCCCCCGTTCCCATATTTTCCTGTATCTTCTGGAGAATCGACGATTCATTGTGTCTGTGTGCTGTTTCTCCTCCTGAGATTCTCGGGTCGGCGCCGGACTCCGCGGAGCGCGCCGGGGAGCGCGCCGGCGGCGCGGCCCGGGGGTGCCGGGGCCGAGGGCACAGCACGGGCCTAGGCCACGTGCTCATATCCTCCTCCTCCTCCTCCTCCCCTCCTCCTCCTCCTCCTCCTCATCATCATCCTGCTCCTCCTCCTCCTCCCCCTCCTCCTCCTCCTCCTCCTCCTCCTCCTCCTGCTCCCGATCCTGATCCTTCTCCTCCTGGTCCTCCTCCTCCTCCTCCTCATCATCATCATCATCGTCATCATCATCATCACCACCCTCCTCCTCCTTCTCATCGTCATCATCTTCATTAGCATCGTCATCGTCATCGTCGTCATCATCATCATCATCACATCGTCATCATCATCGTTATCAGCATCATCAGCATCGTCAGTATCAACTTCATCTGTTTCTTTCTCATCACCAGTATCATCATCATCATCATCATAAGAATCATCACAATCATCCATATCACCATAACCATGACCAACCTCATCGTCATCATCATCACCATCAACATAATCCACAACATGATCAACCTCATTATCAACATCAACATCATCATGGTCATCGTTACCGCTACCGTCATCATCACCATCATCACCATCACCACCATCATCATCAGCATCATCACCATCAGCATCATCATCAGCATCATGATCATCATCAGCATGGCCATCGTCATAATCATCGTCATCGTCATCGTCATCGTCATCGTCATCACCATCATCATCATCATCATCATCATCATCATCATCATCATCATCATCATCATCATCATCATCATCATCATCATTATCATCAGCATCGAATCGAATCGAATCGAATCGAATGAGCTCCGCGGGAGGCTAAGCGGGCCTAAAGGAAACACAAGGACCATGGAAACCTCGGAGCATCGCCGCTCAGCATCGCCCAAACGGGTCCAGCTTGGGCATGCGGATGCACTCTTTTGGGATGGGCCTCCTGGCGGACCCGCTGGTGTCACACACAGGGGCCACGTGGCCTACCAGTGGGCCACGGCGGAATAGTCTAGCTTTCCGAATGCGCTGATCCCGATGGATGCGGCTGCCGAATGCTGCGCTAGCTTCCGACACCCGTGGAGGGTGGCCTCGTCGCCTGCGGGGGTTGGGCCCCCCCCCCCTGGACAGGATTGCTGGAAGCGTTGGAAAGCAGCAGCGAGCTTCGGGCTGGTCCAGGCCCGTCTTGGAATTTGACTCGGCTTCCACCCTGCGAGGTGGAAGCCGAGTCAAATTGGGAGGGAGGGAGGGAGGAGGGAGGGAGAGGGAGGGAGGGAGGGAGGGAGGGAGGGAGGGAGGGAGGGAGGGAGGAGGGAGGGAGGGAGGGAGGGAGCGAGGGGTGAGGTGCACGAGGGCGCAGTGGGAGCGCGCCGATCGGCTGGCACTGGGGGAAGACGGGGGCGTCTGGGGAGCGAAGGTCCTCTCGAGCCATCTGTCGTCTAGCCTGCTTTTCCTGGGCCGGCCTGGCCCCCCTCCTGCGTAAGAGCAACACCTCGACGTCGCATCAGCAGAGAGCGTACAGCGAGCTTGTGTGCAGTGTGCATTGGCCGCAGGCGCGTGTGTGCGGTCATGGCCTTCACCCAGCATCGGCAGTACGAAATCGTGGCGCATGCTGGCCGCAGGCGAGACAGAATCTCGCCGTGGCTGGCCAAGCGCGCTCGCCGAGCGAGTGAAGGGGTATGGAAATGGAGAAACTGTTTGCGAGGTGCGTCATGCCTAGTCCGCTTGTGTTCCTTCCCGGTCAAGGGCCTGAGGTTACGGTTCGATAGGTCAACAGGACGAGCACTTGCGCAAGTTGACAGATCCGGACATGTGTTGCATGCAACTTACGGCCCTCTCGCTCTTGCGTTCGGTCCTCGCCGGACGGCGATGGAAGGAGCAGATTTCGCGATTGACGCATGTGGGGGTTGGGCCCTGTGAAATTTACCTCGACTGTAAGTCCACTCTGGAGGTGCTGCTTGGCGGCCCTGGCATGGGAGTCTCATCGGTGTCCCCTATTGCCACATGTGGAGCCCGTTCTGGAGTGCGTCTGGTTCCAGTGGTGTGCAGACGTTCAAGACACTTGCGCACGCGACCAGCAATAATGTTGATGCTGGTAGGACGGCCTGGTGGGAGTAGAACGCCAGCTTGAGTGAGGGCCGGTATGCTAATCTTCGAGCCTGGATGCACAAGATATTCGAGTAATGATGCTTGCTACAAACGAAATTTCAAAGCTCAACAGTCAACTCGTAATGTAAGGACACACGATACGGATGCAATGGCCTTGGAGGGCCATGCCCACACTCTGCGAGCGGGGCGTGGCCAGCCAAAGCGGCCAAGGCTTGGCCGAAGGGGACGTATGCAAGAGTAACCTTACTATGCGGGTTGACTGCAGTGTTTGATCATGGGAGGTCATGAGAGCCCAGCATCGAATCGATAAATCGGATCGGAGATCAACATGAGTCGAATCGGCAGAAACTGGCAGCCAAATGGGGAAAAATCGAATCGGAGGGTGAGGAGAGGAGGAGGAGGAGGAGGAGGAGGAGCAGGAGGAGGAGGAGAAGGAGGAGGAGGAGGAGGAAGAGGAGGACGCATGGGAGGAGGAGGAGGAGGAAGAGGAGGAGGAGGGTGAAAGGAGGATGAGGAGGAGGGGGAGGAGGAGGAGGAGGGGAGAGGGGGAGGGGGAGGAGGAGGAGGAGGAGGAGTAGGAGGAGGAGGAGGAGGAGGAGGAGAGGGGGGAGGAGGAGAAAGAGGAGGAGAGAGAGGAGGAGGAGGAGGAGGTGAGGAGGAGGAGGAGGAGAGGAGGAGGTGGAGGAGGAGGAGGAGGGGAGGAGGAGGAGGAGGGGGGAGGAGGAGGAGGAGGAGGAGGAGGAGGAGGAGGTGGAGGAGGAGGAGGAGGAGGAGGAGGAGGAGGAGGAGGAGGAGGAGGGAGGAGGAGGAGGAGGAGGAGGAAGGAGGAGGAGGAGGAGGAGGAGGAGGCAGGAGGAGGAGGAGGAGTGGAGGTGGAGGAGGAGGAGGAGGAGGAGGAGGAGGAGGGGGGAGGAGGAGGAGGAGGAGGAGGAGGCAGCGGAGGTGGAGGAGGCAGCAGAGGACGAGGACGAGCGGGGGGGCAGGGCTGCCGGAGGCGCAGCGTGGGCGCCCGGCGGGGAGCCTGCTCCTCGCTGACGGAGTAGTGCAGGTACTCCAGGGTCTTCAGGATCTCCTGGCCGCGGCCCGCGCGGGGGCACGCCCGGGGCGTCGCAGGCGAAGCCAGGACGGGGACAGCATCGGGTGAGGCTCAACCTCGCGTAGCCCCAGGTCGGACGTGTCCCCCTACAGGCGAATTTTGGGCGACAGAAATTTGAAGGGGCCCCGGGACACACAAATAAATAGACACAAATGACAGGAATCCCAATAGTTTAACATATTTTCTGGTTGTTTGTCTTCCCCCCACTAACCATATTTCCCTACCTAGGCTCTGCCTAGAAGGGTTCTTACCCTCTTGGCTTAAAGGGGCCGGGCAGTGCTAAACGCCCCGGGCGGTTCCCCCGGCATCCGCCGCGCGGTTCCCCTAGTTGCGTCCCCTTAGCTTAGCGTTGCGTGTCTCATCTTAGCTTAGCTTATTTCAGCTTAGCTTAGCTTAGCTTCATCTTAGCTCAGGTTTATCTTAGTTCAGCTTACCTTCATCTTAGCTTCGCTGAGCTTTAGCATAGCAGAGCACAGCAGAGCATAGCATAGAGTAGCATAGGGCAGCGCAGCACAGCATAGCCCAGCATAGCATAGCATAGCGCAGCATAGCATAGCATAGCATAGCATAGCATAGCATAACATAGCGCAGCGCAGCACAGCATAGCACAGCGCAGCATAGCATAGCAGAGCATAGCACAGCAGCCAAGCAACGGCAAAACACCAGCAGCGACAGCAAAGCAAAGCACAAGCAACGCAAAGCAAAGCAAAGCAAAACAAAAGCAACAGCAAAGCAAATTAGCATGGGTGTACTTCCCTACCTAGGCTCTGCCTAGAGGGTTAGCTTAGCTTAGCGTAGCTTAGCTTAGCATAGCGCAGCGCTGCATTAGCATATCGCATATCATCGCATAATAGAGCCACGCATAGTATATCATTTCATAGCATAGCGCAGCATATCATAGCATAGCATAGCGCAGCTTAGCATAGCATAGCATAGCATAGCTTAGCATAGCACAGCGCACCATGACATAGCACAGCATAGCTTAGCATAGCATCGCATATCATAGCATAGCATAGCGCAGCATAGCATGGCATAGCATAACATAGCATAGCAACTAATGCTGCTGTCCTAGGGGCTCCAACTTCTAGGTAGGGTCGCACTGGGGTAATTTCCTACATTTTCTGGGGAGTCGACGATTCAGTGTGTCTATGTGTTCTTTCCCCTCCTGAAATTTAAAATACTCCAAAAATACCCCTTTCATAGTCAAAAAGTAATCAAATAATAGCCCCCATATTATTTTTTGGACTATCTTTCAATATTCCTCCTGTAGAGGGACAGGCACGACTTAAGCGCAGCCTCCTCTTGGTGGTCTCCAAACCAGGTGGTGAGACACCCGGTGGTGACCCCGATTCCCCAACAAAAATAATTCTGGGTCACCACCGGGTTTGGGGACACGCGGTCGCCACGAGGTTTTGCGTTTCCTGGGCCAGCCAACGCTCAAAAACCATTACCCAAATCGCCTAAAACTCACCACCGGGTGTTCTCACCACCACGTTTGGGGACCACCAATCCTCTCTATCAGGGAGGCGTCGTGACCGAAGCTGTGCCCGAATCTCTGCCCAGGTGTGGCCGCAACTCGCGCCCGAACATGTCCGACCGCGCCCAGGTGGGACCGAACTGTGTGGTTCGAAGCCAGGACGAGCTTCACCTTCTGTCGCATGCTCGGTCACACGACATTTTCGGTCACAACTTCGGGCACGTTGTCGGTCATCGATTTTGTTCGGTCAGCCAGGAGAGCCCAGAATCGGATCGACAAGTCGGATCGGCAGTCGAAATGAATCGGATCGGCGGAAATCGGCAGCCGAATCGGGAAAAGTCGAATCGGCTGAAATTGGCAGGCTAGTATGCCTCCAATAAGAAATCGGAACCCAAATCGGAATCCCAAGTCGAATCGAATCGGAATCGGAAGCCATCGAAGTCGAATCGAATCGAATCGGAGGAATCGAAACGAGCCCTGGGTCAGCCTCCGTGTCGGCTGACAGGGGCGGGGCGCCATGACCAATCGGGAATCTGTGAGAGCCGGTGGCTCTGGAGAACGTCTCGGGCGCCGCGGCCCTCTCAGACAGGGTGTCGCCAGAGGTGCCCCTCGCACAAGGTGCCCCCAGGATTTCCAAGGAGGCCCCCAACGGGCGCCAGAGCACTCCTCCTCCCTTTCCTCCTCCTCCTCCTCCTCCTCCTCCTCCTGCTCCTCCTGCTCCTCCTGCTCCTCCTCCTCCTCCTCCTCTTCATCCTTTTCTTCTCGCCAAGGGCTCCAAAAGCGAGCGAAAACCTGGGGGCACCTTGGGCCGAGGGCGCAATTAGCAACCCGCGACCAGGGCGTTTACGCTCCCCTAAAATCCGACGCAGCGAAAAAATGGCAGCATCGATACAAATCACGCCAGGAGCCCCAAACCCCATTTTCCTGCCTCACTTTTCGAAACGGATCGATCTGCGAGGGTCCCGGGGCGCGGCGACACGTGAAACGCCCGGCTCGAACAAAATTGAGACGCCAAGGTCTCTCGGGGACCTGCTGACCCGGGTCAATCCAGACCCGGGTCAATCAGGTCTTGCAAAAATCCTGCAAGATCCTACAAGCTCCTGCACCCAAACCCGACCCGGGTCAATGCGAAGGACCCTGCAATATCCATCCGGATCCTGCACCCAAGCCCGGGTCAATGCGACCCTGGCCCTGCAGGATCCTGCAAGATCCGGCGCTCTGGCTGACCCCCGTTTGCACTGACCCCCGTCTCAAGGCTCCCGCGTCTCACGCTCCGAGAGCGGTCCGGAACGCTCCGAGAGCGGATCTGTCCTCGTCGCAGGCCCGCCCAAGCTGCGCTCCCCCTTTCGGGGGGCCCGCACCCGTCCAAGGAGAGAGCGGGCCCCCCGCAGGAGGCACCCCCGACCCCCCCCCCCCGCCCCTTCCCGGGCCGCCGCCCTGTGTGGGGAGAACTCCTCGGGCAAATGTTAGGTCGGGCATGTCCTCCCGCAGGCGGATTTGGGTCGACAACTAAGGAGTACTCGAGAATACGCGTGGCCCAAACCATCTCGTTTATCTCGGATTCGTTCTTTGATGCTTCGCGGGGCCCGGTGAAGGCTCCCAGAAGGCGAAACTTGTCAGCTAACCCTTCCAGCACGATTTCTTCACGACGCGAGGATATCAGGGACTCTGCCAAAGCACTGTTTTTTTTTACTCGACGATAACCCGGATTATCCCGGGGGGGGGAGGAGGAGGAGGAGGAGAGGGCCGGCCGATAACCTAACCCTCGCGCTGTGGGCAACCCTACATATGCCCGCACCCATCCTCCCGCGGACCTGCCATACAGCAAGGTTAGGTTATCCTTGGGGGGGGAGGAAGGGCAAGCCCGATAACACGGGTTATCGCCCGATCCTAAAAAAAGATAGTCTCCAATAGCAGCGAGCAACACGGCTCCTGCTTGCAGACCGTCCCAGAGCGATCCCAGTCGAAGGTGTTGAACGTGCTCATCAGGCGCTCGTACTCGGCCTGGCGCGCTCGAGGCAGCGATCACATGATCCTGCGCTCGACATGTTGTGCGGCCTGCGGAGCGCGCAGTGGGCTCAGAGCTTAGTGGGCCCTGGAAACGACAGGGCCGTTTTTTTACCGCTTTCGTTTTGTCGTTCTTTTACCGGCTCCGACGCCCATTTTGTTACCGGTTCCGCCGCCGCCGTTTACCAGTTCTAGCTCCGTCTCCAATCCTGGAGCCGCTTTTGTTACCCGTTCCACTTCCAAGAGGCACTTTTTCGGAAACGGTGAAAAAGCGGCCCAGAAGCACCTCCAGACGAAGGACGGGGCAGGAAGGGCTGGGACAAAAGCAGGAGAGGGAGTCACGGCGACTGCGGCGGTGGCCGCAACTAGATTTAGGTTGGGCATGTCCCCCTATAGGCGGATTTTTGGACGAAAAATTGAAAACACCCCAAAGGTACACCCCAAATACTCAAAAGTAGTCAAACAATCGTCCCCAGATATTTTGGGGCACTCTTTTTGAGCATTCCTCCTGTAGAGGGACACGTGCCTGACTGAAAACAAGATGCGCGAGAAACGGCATAAGCAGAAGCTCTTGGAGGTCGGCGCAGATCTCTCGAATCGGAGCTGGACTCCCCTCCCAGGCGCGCGGAGCGCGCGGCGCCCGAGGCGCCGCCAGTGGGTCCCATCGCCCATCGCACTGGCCTTGCAGACGTGCTGCAGCGGATTTCTGCTGGGGGATTTCTGCGTGGATTTTTGTCCGAAGCGGCGAGCGAAAAACGAAGTGAATTTCGCGTGGATTAATGTTGGTCTTCACTCCTGGCAAAACAAGTCCGCACGAAATTCACCTCGAAATTCGGAACGAAATCCTCCAGGACACCCCAGGCCCATCTGATCGTTTTCCTAACGAAATCCGCTCTGCGATGTTGGCGCCATGACATCGCTGATGCAAGAAATCAAAGTTGACCTGTGAGAATTTCTGGCTCTGCCGTTTCGCTCGGGAGAGGCTGAGTCCAGACAGGGCAAGCCCACAGGGAGACTGAGCACGCCGTGTAGACTTACTCTGTATGGATTCAGCCTCCTATCAGGAGAGGCTAAGCCCAGACGGGGTAAGCACAGACGGACCCCGAGCACTCCGTATGGACTCCGTCTGGACTTACCATGTGACGATTCCCTTCTTCAGATGGGCAACGATAGGGGGTGCTGGCATAGAGGGGAAACATCGACCTGGAATCGGCGATAATCGCCGATAGACCGGCGATAGGCCCCAAATAGCGATTCCACACGTTCCTTGGCAGGGCTTGGCTACCAGACCGCTATCGGCGGTCAGTGGGCGATTGGGGTTCGATGCATCCACCCCTACCCGTCGGTCGGGAGAACTGGGTAGAAACATGAGATAGGAAGGCATTGAAGTAGATTGGGCTTCCGCCCGCCCCTGAAGTGGAGAGACGAGGGAAAACCGCTCGACTCTTGAAGTAGGAAGGCGGCTAAGGCAGATCGGGCTCTGGTAGTCCCCGACTACCAACTTTCAAGGACTGGCGTCTATCGCTGCCCCTGCTCTTCAAGTAGCAGCAGCCACAGATCCCTTACGGGGGGGGGTGATACATGGGGGGGCAGCGAAGGCCGCAGAGAAGGGACCCTTTAACCCCCCTGACGGGGCCCTTTAGGGCCCGAGAGGGCACCTTTCCTCCCCCATCAACTCGCGCCCAACACACGGGAACTTCTGCCCCTCCAGCCTTCCCGAAGCCTGCCACCGCCACCGCCCTCCGCCAAAGAGAGGGCCTGGGCCACCGATATCGCCGAGCTGGGCGGAGGAGGAGCGGGAGAGGCGCAGAGGCAGGAGAGGGGGGACAGGAGGGACAGCCCCGTCTCCCTCTCCTCCTCCTCCTCCTCCTCCTCCTCCCTCTCCTCACTCTCCTCCTCCTCCTCCTCCTCCTCCTCCTCCTCCTCCCTCCTCCTCCTCCTCCTCCTCCCTTCCTCCTCCTTATTCCTATTCCTCCTCGTCCTCCTCCTCCTCCTCTTCTTCTATTTCGTTTTTTTTGTTTTCTTCGTCTTCTTCTGCTTCTTCATATTACAAGTCGTATAGTAATTCCCAACCCTCATGCGTTGGGTACTCGTTTTGAATAGAGCACTGTGGTCTCCACCTTCCTCCTCCCGCCTCCCGCCTCCTCTCTCCCCTCTTCGTCTCGCTTGCCTTTTACCTACCTAGCTTGCCGTTCGCCATCCCTGGGGGGCGGCGATCTGTGAAACTGTCGCCACTTTCGAGGGTTGCTGGGGTGGCCAGCGGAGTGGCGCCCCACGGGGACTCAGATTAGACCTCGCCGTCTCTGGGGGGCTGCGATCTGTGAAGCTGTCGCCACTTTCGAGGGTTGCTGGGGTGGCCAGCGGAGTGACGCCCCACGGGGACTCAGATTAGACCTCGCCATCCGTGGGGGGCTGCGATCTGTGAAACTGTCGCCACTTTCGAGGGCTGCTGGGGTGGCCAGCGGAGTGACGCCCTACGGGGACTCAGATTAGACCCCGCCATCCCTGGGGGGCTGCGATCTGCGAAATTGTCGCTAGTTTCGAGGGCGGCAGGGGTGGCCAGCGGAGCGACGCCCCACGGGGACTCAGATTAGACCTCGCCATCCCTGGGGGGCTGCGATCTGCGAAACTGTCGCCGCTTTCGAGGGCTGCTGGGGTGGCCAGCGGAGTGACGCCCTACGGGGACTCAGATTAGACCTCGCCATCCCTGGGGGGCTGCGATCTGTGAAACTGTCGCCACTTTCGAGGGCTGCTGGGGGGCCAGCGGAGTGACGCCCCACGGGGATTCAGATTAGACCTCGCCATCCCTGGGGGGCTGCGATCTGTGAAACTGTCGCCACTTTCGAGGCTGCTGGGGGGCCCAGCGGAGTGACGCCCTACGGGGATTCAGATTAGACCTCGCCATCCCTGGGGGGCTGCGATCTGTGAAACTGTCGCCACTTTCGAGGCTGCTGGGGGGCCCAGCGGAGTGACGCCCTACGGGGATTCAGATTAGACCTCGCCATCCCTGGGGGGCTGCGATCTGTGAAACTGTCGCCACTTTCGAGGGCTGCTGGGGGGCCCAGCGGAGCGACGCCCTACGGGGACTCAGATTCGACCTCGTCATCCCTGGGGAGCTGCGATCTGTGAAGCTGTCGCCACTTTCGAGGGCTGCTGGGGGGCCCAGCGGAGTGACGCCCTACGGGAATTCATATTAGACCTCGCCATTCCTGGGGGGCTGCGATCTGTGAAACTGTCGCCACTTTCGAGGCTGCTGGGGGGCCCAGCGGAGTGACGCCCTACGGGGACTCAGATTAAACCCCGCCATCCCTGGGGGGCTGCGATCTGTGAAGCTGTCGCCACTTTCGAAGGCTGCGTGGGGGGCCCAGCGGAGTGACGCCCTACGGGGATACAGATTAGATCTCGCCATCCCTGGGGGGCTGCGATCTGTGAAACTGTCGCCACTTTCGAAGGCTGCGTGTGGGGGCCAGCGGAGTGACGTCCTACGGGGACTCAGATTAGACCTCGCCATCCCTGGGGGGCTGCGATCTGTGAAACTGTCGCCGCTTTCGAGGGCTGCTGTGGGGCCCACGAAACTGTCGCCACTTTCGAAACCTGCTGCGGGGTCCAGCATAGCGACGTCCTACGCGGACGCAGATTGGACCCGTCATTCTACTTCGATTATCCCGCATCTGCGATCGACTGTATGTGTGCGAGGAACTAGACATGGAGTGGTCTGGCACTGACTGACGTCAAATCGTTGCGTGCCAGTGTCTCCTGGGGTGTTGCCTGATGTGGATGCAGCTCGTCGGCGCTGCGACTCGAGCTGGCGGTCGTCCTTCGGACCCGCAGAAACATCTGCTGAGCTCGATGAGCTAGGGGAACTACAGGAAAGAAGTGCAGGAAACGGAGGCCTGTCATGCACTCGCCGATACCTCGTTGCTCTGTCATCGTCTTTGCTGTTGCATGATCCTTATCTGGCCTGCCGGCGCCGCGGCTCGAGCTGGCGGTCGCCCTTCGGGCCCGCGGGAACATCTTCTGAGACAAGTGGACGCCGCCGCCTTACTTGCAGGCAGCGCATTGCATTCGCGGACAGCAGCATGGCAGACCGCAGTGAGATCCTCAGTCGCGTGGTGTTGCCAAGCCTGGTGGAGACGCGCGTGATCGACCTGAAGTCCCAATCGCGCGTGCACTGTACCTGCGTGGCGTTCAGGCACGCGCGTGATGCTGCTCGCTCCGCGTTCAACCAGTACGTCGCCAGTGCAACTTTGGACGATGGACAACCGATTGATGATGCGCGACCCCGGCCTTGAGTTTCTTTCCCGCGGGCCGCCCGCAGACCTGGCGGCGCGCCTGCGAGCGTTCAGCTCCCGCGCTGAAATGCGCGGGAAGGAGGCGGAGAAGCTAGCGGGCGAGCTACGCCTCGCTCGTTCCTTGCACTCTAAACAAGTTTTATCATGTGGAACTCTGCGACGACATGGCGCAGGCAGCGCTGCGGGTTTAGCTCGCACTTGAAAAACGCGGCAGTCTTCTGTCTCCTCCCGCCACTTTCATCGTCGTCCTATTCCCCGCCTCACCTTCTCCATGCATGCTGCTGCTTCCGCGATGGCCTTTCGCCCCCCCCGCCCTCCATTCCATCCCTCTCCTACCCCTCGTTCCCGTACCCGTTCTTCTTCGATCCTGGGGCCTCAATCTTCGTTCTTTCGATCGTCGTCCTGTGACTCGTGCAACGCATGCGCATCCCATGTAGCTTGCACAGCAAATCGCCGCGTCTACACTGTCGTTGTTCCTGCTAATGTTGGCATAGTCCTCTTGCCATTTGATGCACGTGGGTTGGGTACGTCGCAGGGTAATTATCATGTTTATGTTTGATGTTTTCTTATTATGATGTTTTCTCTTCCAATTCCTCCTCCTCCTCCTCCTCCTCCTCCTCCTCCTCCTCCCCCCCTCCCTTCCTCCTCCCTCCCTCCCCCTGCCTCCTCCCTCCCTACTCCTCTTCC